CCTAGCAGTAAAATAGGTACCTGGGTGTTAGTCAGCTGTCACGGGCTGCTTCCTAGGAGTGGAGGCCTGGTCGAGGACCGGGCCGCGGGGACACTAAAAAGCCCCGAAATCATCTCAAGATAACCTCAAGATCGTTGACCTCCAAATATTATTATTATTATTATTATAATATCTGGCGGGTTTTTGTTTATGGATTAGGATGAGCTTGTCTAAGCATTTTGGTATGAATTATTGCATGAATTTCAGTAAGACGATCAATGATGCTCGGAATATTAGATTCCTTTCTCATGTGGGCCGTGGTGTAGGTGATCCTCGTGTGGGCCGTGGTGTAGGTGATCCTCGTGTGGGCCGTGGTGTAGGTGATCCTCGTGTGGGCCGTGGTGTAGGTGATCCTCGTGTGGGCCGTGGTGTAGGTGATCCTCGTGTGGGCCGTGGTGTAGGTGATCCTCGTGTGGGCCGTGGTGTAGGTGATCCTCGTGTGGGCCGTGGTGTAGGTGATCCTCGTGTGGGCCGTGGTGTAGGTGATCCTCGTGTGGGCCGTGGTGTAGGTGATCCTCGTGTGGGCCGTGGTGTAGGTGATCCTCGTGTGGGCCGTGGTGTAGGTGATCCTCGTGTGGGCCGTGGTGTAGGTGATCCTCGTGTGGGCCGTGGTGTAGGTGATCCTCGTGTGGGCCGTGGTGTAGGTGATCCTCGTGTGGGCCGTGGTGTAGGTGATCCTCGTGTGGGCCGTGGTGTAGGTGATCCTCGTGTGGGCCGTGGTGTAGGTGATCCTCGTGGCTTCCTTGTGAAATATTGCGGTCCTCCAAGCATGCTTCCGGGGGCTGAAGCAAGCATGAATCACCGGCTTTCATTGGTTCCCATTTTAGGATTCTGCGGATATGAAGAAGGCTGCTTCTCTTTCTCTGTCTCGGCCTCTTCTTTCTCCGTCTCATTCACTTCGCTCTCTGTCTCAGCCACTTCTCACTCTGTCTCATCCACTTCGCTCTCTGTCTCAGCCACTTCTCACTCTGTCTCATCCACTTCGCTCTCTGTCTCAGCCACTTCTCACTCTGTCTCATCCACTTCGCTCTCTGTCTCATCCACTTCTCTCTCCGTCTCATCCACTTCTCGTGATTTTTTATACATTTGATTTTGATGCGATCCTTTACGTCAAAATACAGTGTGTTATGCGAGAAAACACCAGACCGCTCGATAAAGCTCGCTTTTTTTTATTGTTAGAACAGTATATGTACATATATATATATATATATATATATATATATATATATATATATATATATATATATATATATATATATATATATATATATATATATATATATGTCGTACCTAGTAGCCAGAACGCACTTTTCAGCCTACTATGCAAGGCCCGATTTGCCTAATAAGCCAAGTTTTCATGAAATAATGGTTTTTCGACTACCTAACCTACCTAACCTAACCTAACCTAACTTTTTCTGCTACCTAACCTAACCTAACCTATAAAGATAGGTTAGGTTAGGTAGGGTTGGTTAGGTTCGGTCATATATCTACGTTAATTTTAACTCCAATAAAAAAAAATTGACCTCATACATAATGAAATGGGTAGCTTTATCATTTCATAAGATAAAAATTAGAGAAAATATATTAATTCAGGAAAACTTGGCTTATTAGGCAAATCGGGCCTTGCATAGTAGGCTGAGAAGTGCGTTCTGGCTACTAGGTACGACATTATATATATATATATATATATATATATATATATATATATATATATATATATATATATATATATATATATATATATATATATATATATGTATATATATATATATATATAATCATTAGGCTGTGTTAGGCCCGGGGGGGGATTGGTTAGGCTGTTAGGCCCGGGTGAGTTCGATTAGGTAGCTATACAATTAGTTTGATAACGGTCTTGTAACAGTTGTAACGGTCTTGTAACGGTTGTAACGGTCTTGTAACAGTTGTAACGGTCTTGTAATGGTTGTAACGGTTGTAACGGTCTTGTAACAGTTGTAACGGTCTTGTAACGGTTGTAATGGTCTTGTAACGGTTGTAACGGTTTTGTAACAGTTGTAACGGTCTTGTAACGGTTGTAACGGTCTTGTATGTGATGGATGCAACTTGTACCCAAAACAATGGGCGTGGGTGGATCTCCTTGATAAAGTTGTCTTGATTTTTTTTTTGCAGGGATATTCCTGCGCGGGCCCTAAGCCTCTGGCTGGCCCACTAAGTGTTGCTTCTTTCTGTTTTACTTGGGCGGAGTATGAGTATTTATGACTCGTATGGTCGCTTCAGTAAGATTTTGCCATATGTGTTTAACAACTTCTTCTGCTCTGTTGAATCTAAGTTGAAATCTTCATGGGTTTGTAACTGTGCACTGTGTTAGATAATGTTCCAGTGGTCTGTCGGGCATTTCTCCACAGTGTTGACATTTCCTCTCATCTTCCGGAACCTGTAAGCCTATTTCCCATGCACATGGGTATCCAAGCCTGATGCGATGTAAGTGTACTTCTGTTGCTCTACTTCTCCCTTTCATCAAACTAAGTGGTTCGTAGTTGGTTGAATTCTTGTACCAACCCGCAGATCCTGATGTTGCAACTGCTGTGTTGTGGTCACTGTACATCTTTTGCATTGCTCTGTTTTAATTACTTTCTTAATCTGTGATAGACTCTGTGGTATGTAAATGTCTATATTTCTTTTCTTAGATGCAAGTTTTGCAGCTTCGTCTGCAATGTCATTTCCTATTATTCCCACATGACTTGGCACCCAGTTGATAAGTACCCGTCGGCCTTGTCGTTTGAGTGTTTGCATTAATGATATGGCATTTGTGATCAGATGGATGTTATCAAATATGTGTTCTTGTTGCAAGGTTTCAATGACAGTTCTCGAATCTGTATGTATGATAACATGTTGTCGGTGTTCAGCAAGAACATGTTCCAAAGCCTTTTGAATGGCTAGCATCTCTGTTTGTAAAGTTGAACACAGGTCTTAATTGATGGCGTTGAAGTCCCTGGGCTCTAGTAATATGGGGAGAAATAGCGTGGGAGTGAGTGGTGGTGGGGGTGTTGGGGGAGAGTGGTGGAGGGAGAGTGGTGGAGGGAGAGTGGTGGAGGGAGAGTGGTGGAGGGAGTGGGAAGTATCAAGTGACCGAAGCACCCCCCTCCCCCCACCCCTCACCCCCTCCTCCAGCAACCCAAATAGTGTAAATAGCTGAACATCACTGCACTGTGTCGCAGTGGTTCACTGTGTGTGTGTGTGTGTGTGTGTGTGTGTGTGTGTGTGTGTGTGTGTGTGTGTGTGTGTGTCTGTGTGTGTGTGTGTGTGTGTAGTGAAGACAGTTGCAATGATGCAGGGTAGGGAAGGTGGTGATTGTTGAAGGTTATGTGTAGTTAAGATGGCTACAGTGACGATGCCGATGTTTACACGCAACGTTCACAGCGTGGAAAGTATAGTAAAGATATTACTATACAAATTTGTAACAAATTTTGTAAATAAATTTGCTGCAAATTTGGCTACAGTGATGTAAATAGCATACATCGAAGCTGTAGCACCCCATCACCCAGGCCACGCCGGGTGACTCCCATATAGTGTGCTGTAAATCAGAATGCCATTACACGACTCCCGTGTAATGTGGTGTGATTTACATGATTTACAGGGGTTTGATTTACACCCTGAGGTGTAAATCCCCGCTCTGGCAGATTGAGCCGCACAGAGAAGGACCCGCGTCAATAATCTCCTAATTACCCATTGTTATGGGCGCCCAACAGTTCCTTTGGGGGGGGGGGGAGGGCGAGGCGTGTATGGGGGGTCTTAGCGGATTTCAGCGCCAACGAATGATTAATTGTATAACAGTAGGTATAGTGGTGGTGTTGATTCATCCACCTGTGATATCCGGCTGGTGCATAACCATTAGCACACTCATAGCTAATGTAAAGAGATATATAGATCACAGGTGCTGACCTATGGGTGACTATGGGGGAGAGTGAGGTCTCTCTATGTCTCGCCTCCTGGCCGTGTTGTATCTGTGGCGGTATAGTTGAACTGTTCTGATGTTTGAAGTCTTTGTCGAAACTGACATTGTGAATGGAAGTGAGTCAATAATTTCTCAGAAGACGGCGCCAAGCTGGGAAGACTTGGGAGCACTGTCCGTGCCCAAGCTGCTCGACCTTGTTCTCTGGGTGGCCCTCTTGACCCGCCGTCTAGGCTATGGGGTACATCACTTGACTTCTCTTCGTCTCACTTACGTCTCCAGCTTCCACTTATGTCTTCTTATCGTACTTTATCTCAATTTTAAAGGCCTTTTATTTTCCTCTTAGACTGGGCGGTAGAGTAACGGTGGGACCTCTTGCAAGGCAGCGTTCAATCCTCCAGCGTCTAAGAGGGTGCGCACCATTCTTCTCCCTCGTCATGTCCTTAACCATTCTCCTTATTGCTCTATAGTCGTAATGGCTTTGTGCTTTCTCCTGATAATTACCTTCACTTTCCATCTCGTCTATTCCCTTCAGTATCTTATATGTTGTGATCATATCCCCCCCGGTTTCTTCTGTCATCCGTGGTTGTGAGGCCCAGTTTACTTAGTCTATCATCAAAGCTTAGCCTCTCTTAGCTCCGGCATTAATCTTGTTGCAAATGTCTGTACTTTTTCAGTTTTATACTTCACAAGGTACAGATGCCAGGCCGGTGCTGCGTAGTGCAGTATTGGTCAAGTCAGAGCTAGAGTGCCTCGAGTCCTGATTTAGGTTTCTATACTGTCTTCTAATGTTTACCAGCTTCCCATATGCTGCTGTTAGCCTGCCTGTGTGTGCCTCGGGAGATAGTGCTGCAATTATGTCCACTTCCAAATCCTTTTCTCTTTCTGACTCCCGTAGTTGTCTTCCCTTAATGGTGTAGATACATTCTGATCTTTCTCACTTCCCGGTCTTCATTACCTGATATTTGGTAGGACTGATTTACAGCAACCATTTCTCTGGCCACTCCTGGAGTTTGTCATGGTCTTCCTATAACTTCCTGCAGTCTTCCTCGGTTTTTACATTCCTCATTAGCTTTACCTTGTCTGAAACATTGACATGCTGGTGCTCATTCCCTCAGGTAGATCACTCACGTAAATTAGGAAGAGTAATGGTGCCAGGACCGAGCCTTGGGGGACCCCACTTGTTACATTCCTCTTGCTCGAGACTCTTCATCTTCCGCCCTTCAGGTACTCCATGATCTCTTTCAGTGTCTTACCAGTTATTCCTACTTGCATTCTCTATTTTCTACACCAGCCTTTCGTGACGAATGGTATCAAATGCGTTTTGGTATTCTAGGAAAATTACTGTCTATCCAGCCTTCTTTTTTTTGTCCTATCGCATTTTTGGTAACCTTGTCATAAAACTCGATTAACTTTTCCTTTGTAAATCCTTGCTGCCTTATCCTTGGTACAAGGTTTGTCCTCTCCAGGAGCATCGCTGTTATGAACTTTATTACTCACTCCAACATTTTAAACTATACGTACAAGGGACATGGGTCTCTAATATAGTGCCTCCTATCTGGCCCCCGTTTGTTTTTAATATTGGTACTATGTTTATCTTTTTTTCCAGAATATTGGTACTATGTTTATCTTTTTTTCCAGAATATTGGTACTATGTTTATCTTTTTTTCCAGAATATTGGTACTATGTTTATCTTTTTTTCCAGAATTTTGGAACATTTCCTGTCTTGTGACTGATATAAAACAGGAGTTAGCAGGTGAGAAATTACCTCTGTAATCTCCTTCAGCAGCCATGTTCCTTATGTGGCTATAAGAACAGCTGTGGTTGGTCTTTAGCTTTCAGCCCCAAATGTCGCTTTCAAATTGGCTCTCAGCCTCCCCTCCTGGCCCGGGCATGTTCATTTCTGGCTCCCTCTTGTCCTCTGGTCCGAGCTCGCTTTTTCCAGCCATTTTTGGCGCCCTCCCTTGCCTCTCTGTGCTGCCTCTTTAGCCCTGACTCTTCTCATCAGTGCCAGCTCCTTCCTCTTTCTCCCTTCCACTCTGGTTCCTTCCCTTCCTGTGTCCCCTTCCATACACACCCTTCTGGAGGTTATCTTGAGATGATTTCGGGGCTTTTTTTTTTAGTGTCCCCGCGGCCCGGTCCTCGACCAGGCCTTTACCCCCAGGAAGCAGCCCGTGACAGCTGACTAAAACCCAGGTTCCTATTTTACTGCTAGGTAACAGGGGCATAGGGTGAAAGAAACTCTGCTCATTGTTTCTTCCCGGCGCCTGGGATCGAACCCGGGACCACAGGATCACAAGTCCAGTGTGCTGTCTGCTCGGCCTCCCGGCTCCTCCTTCATGGTAATTAACAATAAGTCCCATTGTCGGGGACAAGAAGCCTGTGTGTATATACTTTACGGTTGTGTCGAGGTCTCCAAAGGTCGAGCTGCTGATTGACCTTCTCTAGGAAGTAGTGACCTATCTGCCAGGTACCTATTTATTGCTAGGTGAACAGTAGCATCAAGTGAAAGGAAACGTGCCCAATCATATTTGTTCTGCCAGAGAATCGAACCCAGGATCTCCGATTATTAGTCGTGATCGAAATCCTCCTTTTTTCCCTCTCAGTCTTAAGTTCTCACGTCCAGATTTCATACCTCTCTCTATCTCTTCTTTTTACCATTTTTCCTCCGTTTTTCTCCTTTTTTCCTCTATTTTCTTCCCGCTATTTTGTTCTTTTGAATTTCCTGGTTTATAGAATAGCGATGACGTAGAGGGTGACGTAGAGGGTGACGTAGAGGGTGACGTAGAGGATGACGTAGAGGGTGACGTAGAGGGTGACGTAGAGGATGACGTAGAGGGTGACGTAGAGGGTGACGTAGAGGATGACGTAGAGGGTGACGTAGAGGATGACGTAGAGGGTGACGTAGAGGATGACGTAGAGGGTGACGTAGAGGGTGACGTAGAGGGTGACGTAGAGGATGACGTAGAGGGTGACGTAGAGGATGACGTAGAGGGTGACGTAGAGGATGACGTAGAGGGTGACGTAGAGGATGACGTAGAGGGTGACGTAGAGGATGACGTAGAGGGTGACGTAGAGGATGACGTAGAGGGTGACGTAGAGGATGACGTAGAGGGTGACGTAGAGGATGACGTAGAGGGTGACGTAGAGGATGACGTAGAGGGTGACGTAGAGGATGACGTAGAGGGTGACGTAGAGGATGACGTAGAGGGTGACGTAGAGGATGACGTAGAGGATGACGTAGAGGATGACGTAGAGGGTGACGTAGAGGGTGACGTAGAGGGTGACGTAGAGGATGACGTAGAGGGTGACGTAGAGGATGACGTAGAGGGTGACGTAGAGGGTGACGTAGAGGGTGACGTAGAGGATGACGTAGAGGGTGACGTAGAGGGTGACGTAGAGGGTGACGTAGAGGATGACGTAGAGGGTGACGTAGAGGGTGACGTAGAGGGTGACGTAGAGGATGACGTAGAGGGTGACGTAGAGGGTGACGTAGAGGATGACGTAGAGGGTGACGTAGAGGGGTACATTGGTTTCTCAGGTTTTAGACCCTACTTGAACAGTCATTTTTTGGGGGGGTCTCGTTTTCTATAATGTGGTGGAGGCCAGCACCGGCCGGCTGCAGCGGGTCTGGTGCTCGCTTAACCGGATGACCCAACATGTTAACCGGAGCATAAGACGGATGAGCTACCTTGTTAACCGGAGCTCAATCCGGATGATCCTCCTTCTTAATATGAGCTCACTCCGGATGACCAAACATTATAGCGTCCCAGATCAAACTAGGACCAGTATTGACCCAGGTTAAACTAGCACCCATATCATGCCTCAAATGCTCGTTAACGCCGCCGCCAACTACCCCTTCCCCCCAATCCCCTCTCTCCCTCCTCTGTTTATGAATGAAAAACACTTTTCACACGATTCCTACCTGTCTTCAGGCTACAGGCTCGTTAAAGCGGCTGCCGCCCCCCCCCCACCAAGACGCAATCATAAATGTTAACGTATTGTGTGTATTAAAACTAGGCTTGTTTTTCCCATATTGATTTTATATATTGGTGTTTGGCCCCCCTGCTTGGACGGGCCTGGTTGGGCTTCTGGTCATAAACAGGTGGATGGAGGTTGGGGGGGGGGGGTGTGTGGACCACAGGGTGGTGGACCACGGGGGTGGTGGACCACAGGGGTGGTGGACCACGGGGGTGATGGACCACAAGGGTGGTGGACCACAGGGGTGGTGGACCACAGGGTGGTGGACCACGGGGGTGGTGAACCACAGGGTGGTGGACCACAGGGTGGTGGACCACAGGGTGGTGGACCACAGGGTGGTGGACCACAGGGGTGGTGGACCACAGGGTGGTGGACCACAGGGTGGTGGACCACAGGGTGGTGGACCACAGGGTGGTGGACCACGGGGGTGGTGGACCACAGGGTGGTGGACCACGGGGGTGGTGAACCACAGGGTGGTGGACCACAGGGTGGTGGACCACAGGGTGGTGGACCACGGGGTGGTGGACCACAGGAGAGCTAGAAGTGGTTTTCACAAGTTTTCTTCTGGTAAACACCTTAATTAGTGTGTGGTCGGGCGGAAGGAAGTTGACGGGGTGGGTGGGGGGGTGGAGGGGGAGGATACGATAGAAGGGACTGGGGGGGGGGGAGACAGTGTGCGATAGTGGAGATGGAGGGAGAAGCAGTAGAATGAGATAGTGAGATATGGTGAAGGGGGGGGGAGGGGGGAGAGAGGGGTTAAATGCAGTAATAAAAGATAGATGGTGGTAATTGACTTTAAATTACCACTTTAAACATTTACAATTTTTTGTTCAATTATCAGGAGGAAAGCGCCAAACCATTACGACTTTATAGCACTGGGAAAGGGGTCAGGATCAGGATTTGGGATGGGACGGGGAAGGGAAGGAATGGTGACCAACCACTTGGGGACAATCGGGGGATTGAACGCCGACCTGCATGAAGCGAGACCGTCGCTCTACCGTCCAACCCAAGTAGCTGGATATTAAACATTCACAAGTATGACATTGTAATTGATACATATAGGTGGGAGGTGTTAGGGGGGGGTGAAGAATGTAACAGTTCATTTGTTCTGTAATTGTTCTTACAATTTGTTCACTTTAGTGCCTCATCTTTGTAAGTCAATGTTCTCAGCATTTGTTGTCATCGAAACGAACAAAAGTGTGTATTCTAAGTGTAAGTATGACACACACTTCACTGCTCTGGCACGCCTACTCAATTTCAACTTCTTGTTCATCTCCAACAACAACAACAACAACAACAACAACAAAAACAACAACAAAAACAACAACAACAACAACGTTCTTACTGAAATTGCCATTTGATGAGCATTAATAATGTTTACTTTTGTTTCATTGGTGCAACTTGCGCTCCTAAACTTTTCAGTTTCAAGTTCAGGTATGTTTATTGAGACGAGAAAAAATACATCTCAAAGGGATAGAGTAACTTAGGCTATTTCTACCCTCCGACTTTTCAATAAGTTGCTCTTAAGTTTGCTTTATGAAAGTCTCAACCAAAGATACACGTTAACAGTTACGTCATCTTTTGTTTTTTTTTGTATAAATATTTGCTGCGCACAATTTTTATGACTTTTTTTATTTTATTTTCGTCCCAAACAATGACATTAAAATAATTAATCGAGTCATTAAATTACCAATTACCATTGTGAGAAGGCGGCGTGTGGTCAGCTTTACTTTAAATGAGTATCATTGTTTTTTGGGTCTGATTGATCTTTCGAATAATTGAATAGAATTGTTGTTTTACAAGTACTCAGTATAGTGAAGATTCTGGGGTCAGATTCGCGAAGCAGTTACGCAAGCACTTACGAACCTGTACATCTTTTCTCAATATTCTCAACATTATTTACAATAATTAAACAGTTAATGAGCTCCGAAGCACCAGGAGGCTGTTTATAACAATAACAACAGTTGATTGGGAAGTTTTCACGCTTGTAAACTGTTTAATAAATGTAACCAAAGCCGTCAATGATTTGAGGAAAGATGTACACGTTCGTAAGTACTTGCGTAACTGCTTCGTGAATCTGGCCCCAGGCCTCTGGCTCAGAGAGACTGTCCACGTGTCAACACAAAGGTTAAACAAATCTCCGGGAAAATTGTGAACCTTTTTAATATATGGATTTTGTTAAAGTTAACAAATTATATACATACCATTAAGGTGTGAGCGCATTCAATGATTTTCTTACCTAGTTGTGCTTGTCAGGGGTGAGCTTCAGCTCCTTGGACCCGCCTCTCAACATCCAGTCAATTGTGAGGGTGGGGAGGGGGGGGGGGGGGGGAAAGTGAGTTAGCGAACACCTCTCTCAGCGAGGACACTTCCCCGCTTCCCACCCCCCCCCTTCCCTCTCTCCCCAGTGAGTCAGCCTAACCTTTCCTGAGACCGTGGTTCGTGCCTACCTCTTGCCGACTCTAGCCGGATGTTGATGGGTCATATCACTGCCTTATCTCTTTATCTCACTCCCAGGATCTGCTCTACTAAATCCGAGCTCTGACTCGAGGTGTGTGTGTGTGTGTGTGAGAGAGAGAGAGAGAGAGAGAGAGAGAGAGAGAGAGAGAGAGAGAGAGAGAGAGAGAGAGAGAGAGAGAGAGAGAGAGAGAGAGAGAGAATAATATTATTTCAAACGCCAGTGATCACAGACTGTCAGGGATAGTAATCACGTGGCACACTATTCCACTGCTAATCACCAAGATGAACCTATGGCCATCACCAGTGGAGCAAAGGTCCATGCCACCGGCAATGGCCGCTCTACAAGTGCCTGAGTCACATAGACCACTCGTGAAGCTGTCACAACCCGTCCTAGTGGCCCCTTCTGTCAACCAAACAAAAATTAGACCGTCTCTTCTATAAATTATTGGACCCTGAAGGACTTTCTCTAGAATTAAGAGGCATGAGTTACGAGGAAAGGCTGTGTGAATTGCACCTCAAGTCAGTGGAAGACAGAAGAGTTAGGGGAGACATGATTACCACACACAAAATTCTCAGGGGCCAAATGAGCCACAGAGACATTAGAAAGAACTTTTTCAGTGTCAGAGAAGTTAATAAGTGGAATGCATTAGGCAGTGATGTGGTGGAGGCTGACTCCATACACAGTTTCAAATGTAGATATGATAGAGCCCAGTAGGCTCAGGAACCTGTACACCAGTTGATTGACAGTTGAGAGCCGGGACCAAAGAGCCGAAACTCGACCCCCGTAATTAGGTGAGTACAATTAAGTGTGTTCATTTGAAGCCATCTTTATTCGTTGGCTTGTCTCATGGATAATCCCTCAAAGTAATTAGACATTGAACATTCAGCTTTGATGAACGATTAAACAGCCTCGAATTAGACAACTGCTAATCTGCTGCTCGATTCTGCTGGCCATATAGTTCGACGGTCGCAATGCGTTCCATAATGCTGTCCAATTACATGGACGGTCGGGGATTGAACGCTGACCTGCATGAAGCGAAACCATCGCTCTCCTTCAGAATTGACAAGGCGCCATACTGAGCCGCCAACACCCCTTATACGGAAGGATTCAAGAAGCACCAAACTGCTGCCCAACTGGAACTTTAGGACTCCACATGGGGCGCCATTTTGGCATGTAGGTGTATGTATGTATGTATGTATGTATGTATGTATGTATGTATGTATGTATATGTATGTATGTATGTATGTATGTATGTATGTATGTATGTATGTATGTATGTATGTATGACAGTGTCAGACCATGGAGGAAGAATTGAAACAGGAATTTCCTTAAGTACTTTCGTATATTAATACATCTTCAGAATGAATGAATGAATGAATGAATGAATGAATGAATGAATGAATGAATGAATGAATGAAGGTATGTGTGTATGTATGTATTTATGTATGTATGTACGTATGTATGTATGTATGTTTGTATGCATGTATGTATGTATGTGTATGAAGTTGTGGGCGATAAGATAGCCACAAAGGAAATTGAAAATGGAGATTGTTTGAGCGCTTTTTGTATATTTAACTTGACATCTTGGAATGTGTAGCTAAATACACACGAAAATGCTCAAGCAATTTCCATTTTCATTTCCTTTGTGGTTGTCCATTATTCTATTTTCTTTCGCGAATTGTTTTTCGTAACTAAAGCGCGCACACACACACACACACACACACACACACACACACACACACACACACACACACACACACACACACTCACACGCACACACACACACATCACACACACACACACACACACACACACACACACACACACACACACACACACACACACACACACACACACACACACGGGTACAAGATTATAACATGAAGAGATTTTTTCCTGGAAAACGAAGGATTAAGAAACATTATTCAGTGGTTAAGAATGAATATTTTCATGTGAATGTTACATATTTATGTTTTATATTTATATATTTATATTTTATTTTTCTATATTTAATAAAGACTTAACTATTTTTCCAGTACTTTAACCACTTGATCAGCCCAGTAACTGTCACTCATGTGGCCCCAGTAA